GGGCTATTCAACTAAATCAATCTGGCTTGGCAGGTCGGACAGGTGTCACCCACCAGTTGAATAGCCCTGACTTTTTTCTCGTAATATCATGGCTTTATTCTCGTTTAACATTTTTTTGTAATATTCTAATTTTTTTCTTATAATTAAAAAAATGTCTTGTAGTCAGGCCCTAATACTTTGTCATAATAAAACTATTGTTCATGTACTGAATGTGTTTAAAGGCACAGTGTGTAGGATTTGTTGTTTTCAACGACATCTAGTGGTTGAATCATCCTCCTCGGTCCTCCCCCCACCCCCACCCCCCGCTCCCAAACACAAAGGAGTTGCTACGGTGTCTCTCAGGTGCCAAAAACCTTTGATAATTCCAACGGCGATGTCTACCAGCAGCTTCAGGGCTAGTGATGTTTCAAGTGGTAAGATTATGAGCTTTATCCCAGCTACAATGACAAACAACAAATATTACATTTACAGTATTACAACTAAAACCGTTTTGACGCAGCCACCTCAGTTTGTCCTTCATGAGCCTTCGTAGCCAAGATGGCGGTGCAAGATGGCGGCTGCCTGTGTGGCGACCCGCGACCATGGAGATATAAACAGCTTTTTATAAGGTAAAAATAGTAAAACAGAGTCTTTGTCTGCAATGATTAGACATGTTTTTTATTATTATTGTCATTAGTGATTATCTCAATTTCGGCTAAAAGACTTGACAAAATCCTACACACTGCCTTTAAATTACTGGCTGTACCAACAAAACATCAACCTTGTAGGTTTGTCTTCACAGGTAGATTCTTCAGTATTTACCACTAAATTTGTTTATCTTTGTTTGGAAATGATGAGAACTTGTTAAAGTCATTTGCCAACAAAAGCACCTGCTAAACAAGTGCGATTCGTTCCAATGAACAATATCATAGCTCACTGCATATAATCAAACAAGGTGATATAAATACACACTTCCGGCTGATTTAACCTGCCTGATTATTTACCCAGACATGACTGATTAAAACTTTGGCGATACTTTGGCTATTCTGATACCGTGAAATAATGTCACATTGTCGTTGTGTTCACCCCTAAAAGTTGGTAAAATATCTCCGAGGACACTCCCAGCCTATCCGGCTCTGTACCCCGCTCTTATCGTGTCCCTCCTCCCTTTTTGTTGACCTTTCTCAGTTTTGTACGCTCCCCGCTGAGCCTCGTTGTTTGTGCCAGCGCTGTCCTCCCTGTGAGTTTCTATCTGCCTCTTCTCAGCCACCATCTGTTTCTCTCTCTCTCTGTCTCGATGTCTGACTGCACTACTTCTACTATCCTCTCAGTTTTCTCCATCTGGCTTCCTTTTTTCATCACTTTGGGCTGCCTCTCCTCCACATTTTATTACCTTCCATTAAGCATTTTTGTTGGGTTTTTTTTTTCACTTTGTCACAGTTCCCTCAGTGTCGTACACTGCTGCTGCTCACCCCTCCATCTCTTGTCTGTTTAATGCTGTTTGATAGATTTCCTTTTGCCAGTTAGTGTTTGCTAATCCATTGCCTCGGTTCTCATCTGTTTTCTCCTCTTCAGACTCCTCTTTCCTAACAACCGTTGCCAACATCTTTAGTTCACTTGTGTTTTCTGTGAGCAGGCAGCTTGATTCATGTACAGGATTTAGTTCAAAGCCCACCACAGAATCCTATTGATTTTTTTTCACTTCTGACACCAGATATTCATTTCCTTTGTCTCTCCCTCAGCCCCACTTTTCCATTACTATGTTTTATGTTCGCAGTAGCTCTCAGTCCCTGGTAGAATTGAGTCATCGTCCACATTATGAAAGTGTGCGTGGAAATGCATCTTCTGTCATTATTAATGTGGTCTTCAAACCACCTAAGCTGCAGTGAAACAATAGACAGCTGCACACACATTTACTCCCACACCTCCAGCTCTTTTTTCCCTTCTTGTTATGCTTATAAGAAGTGGGTCAGTGGGATGTTTGGCATCCCGCACTCATCCCTTAAACATTCATAGACACACACGCACAGGCTTCAGCTGACTAACAGCAGGGTATATGTGCTTTGTTACTGCAGCAACATCCCCGTCATTCCAATACAATCTGACTAATTAGTCCCAAAGAGCGTTTACATAGTGCCGACAATCTCCAGGTCTGTCTCTTATGATTGTGTGTGGGCGTCTGCTCAACTCAGCTTGTTGCACTTTAGATGTTTTAAACTGGAGACAGAGTTTTATAAAAAATATCTTCTGGGCATAACGATGACCTGGTATTTGTTTTACAGGTTTTAAAACATTAAAAACGTTGAGTGAAAGGTAAAATGATCCACTTATTAAACATGCTGGACCCTTTTTTTTAATAGTCAASTTTATGAAGCTGATCAAAAAAAATATAAGTGTGTGATTTGCACAGTGTTACACATGGCACAGTGCTAACGGTTTCTTTTAGAGCTGCGGTAAAGGAAGTCACTAGAATATTACGTAACTAACTTTAGACCTTCATATAAATTTCCTAATCATTGTCATTGATAATGTCATCATCAGTAGCCTAAGTAGGAGCACATAGTAGATTGTTTCTTTGTTGTAACAATGCTTCTTGGCATTAAATCTCACACTGTTGGAAAGTCTGTTAATTTCCCTTTTAAATGGTGCCACATTTGTAAGGAACATGCATATGTGGGATGAGCAGTGGAGCTGAGTATGTGGGTTGCACACATGAAAAGCTGCCAAATAGCTTATTTTGTTGTTGCTTTTGACTCCTGTTTGGAGCTTTTGGACCCCCAGGTGCTGCCAAACAGGTGCCCCCTATGATGTTTATTACCAAGAAGCATTGCTACTGCAAAGAAATAATCTACCAAACACAAGTTTACTTACTTTTTGTGCTAATTTATTTTGCAACAAGTTTTGTAAAAAAAAAAAAAAAAAAAAAAAAAAAAAACAACAGTTTAAAAAAATAATTTCAAAGAGTTTTCTGACAATGGACTATTCCGTATCCAAATTCTATCACAATTGTGCATTACAGTTTATATGAATATTAAACAATTATGCTTTTGACCCTAAAACAAACACACTGCTTTCATAAATTGGCCATTTATACTAATTTCTAAAAACTTTTATCAACATTAACTACTGAAAAATACTAACTAGTCAGTCTCTCCTGGAGATCCTTCATTATATGAAAAACAAATAACAGTCTATATATGTACATAAATCAGTTTTTTAAAAAGAAATGTGTAGATGAGAGACAGTTGTAATATAAAAGACATTTCTCTGGTGCAGTACAGCAGATATTTCTGTAACACTTTGTGGTTGTGAAACACAGCTGTGTTGTGTGTTGCTTTCTTTGACAGATTTTGTGATGCCTCCCCAGCTGTGTGTCCACAGTTATTCTGCAGTGTATTGTTCCTGCTGATCCCTTCAACACAGAGGCGTACTCTGCATCAAAATGCTACACTTAGATTTTGAGTGAAATAATCCATCCTCTCAGTCTGAGGCCGTGGTTCTCGACCGGAACAGGGTCTGGTCCCAGATGAGTCTCCGCCTCAAGAGGAGATTTTATGTATCTGGGTGTCCTGTTCATGAGTGATTGTGAGTCCAAAGGCAAAGCTCTCAGTTTACTGGTCTGTCTACATTCCAGCCCTCACCATGAGGCGTGGATCATGACCGAAAGAAAGAGATCCTGGATACAAGAGGTCGAAATAAGTTTCCTTCATAGGGTGGCTGAGCTTATCCTTACAGATAAGGTGAGGAGCTCGGAGTAGAGCCGCTGCTCCTCTGCATCGACAGGAGTCAATTGAGGTGGATTAGGATCCCTCCTGAATGCCTCCCTTTAGAGGACATGATGGAGGTATTATGTATCCTCTCCAGCTTGAGAACACCTTGGGGATCTCTAGGACAGGGTTTCTTAACCTTTTTGACCTCGGGGCCCAATTTGTTGAACATAAAGTGACACGAGGCCCAGTCAGACATTACCAATGTATGGATCAAAATGATAATTATTCTAAATCTTGGTTTTATTTTTATTGTATTTATATCATAACTAAACTATCATAACTAACATATAAATTAAATACACTTACAGTTTAAAAGTGAAACTCCTGTCAAATAATCACAAGACATGATTATGACAAACATTTTTATATTGCAACCTGCCCATAACAATTATTTGAACAAATACAACAAAGATCAGTCAACAGAACACCCAGGCTTATCAGCACAAAAAATAAATTTTTTTAACGTAAACAATAACAAAAATAGAC